TTTTTTTTTCCCAAAAACTTTGTCTTCAAAATAAGGATGTGTCTTATATTCCGAAAAATACGGTATATATAAAACGGTTCCATCTAATGTCTATTCCTGCAAATATCAATTACATTTCCAAGAGGTTTACTTTTTCATTTCATCAGAGAAAAATTGTGACATTATTTAACAACAGGAGTTTCTAAACCCTGCTGTTATATGTGAAGAGCCCAGATACTCAAAAAGCTTACATATTACTGAAGGCATCTTTGATTGTCAACTGTTCTTTCTTGCTGGCCGAATAACCTACAGAGAACAAAAGAAATCCACACAAACAGAATTTTAATTTATACAGACGATATAAAACACTAAAAACAAATAAATTATGGTAAATTCATAAAGACAAGACACAATTTACTATCTAAAACAGTGCTCTATCCTAACTTTTTCACCCAGACTACTAGCCTAAAAGATATAGGCTTCAGAATCATAAATTAAGTGGCCATCATCAGAAAAATACTTTAAAGTATGCTTGTTTTAACTTTCTTGTTTTCTATTAAAATTCAGTTCAGTATAACACAACAAAACTGATCAAATTGTCCAAGAATGATTTTCAGAATTTATTTCTTATAAATGTATTCAGATTATAAAGCAAAACCTGTATTTGTCTCCCAAGGTTCACCTAAAGAAGTGGTAAAGTATTTAATATTCTCAACTACTTCCATCAATACAGACTTTCTTTTGAAAGTTTATGAACAACTTTACAATTTCTAAACTTCTGTGATAAGCAACAATATATATAAAAAAAAAAACTCACTTGATGTTGTATTATCTCCTTGATTATCTAAATTTTCAGCTTCTTTCTCAGATTGAACTTCTTCGCTTTCACTACTTCTAGCAACATTCTCATCTTTATCCATATTGTCTTCATTACTTCCAGCAGCATTTTCATAGTCTGACTCCAATGTCTCATGCATATTTTTAAGACCATCTGATTTTTCACTTTGTTCACTATCTTCAATCACATTCTTTTCATTTACGAGATTAACTCCTTCAACAGCTTTCTCTATGATACAGGCAACTAAGTCTTTTACTTCATTTGCATATTGTTCCTAAGTAATGATATATAGTACATAAATCATAATCATGTTTTTTTTACATTTAAAAATCAACCAGTGTATTTTCCTATAAATATAATGATAATTCTGCTACTACAAATACAAAGCTACCATTCTTTGCACTACTGTACAGACTTTTTTATATTTCTCATATCCTGGTTGTGTGAGAAGAAATAAATTGTGCTATCTAAAGAAGTTAAAAGGCAAGGGCAGCTCAGCCTTAATCATGTAGCTGCTCCCTCCCTCCATTCTATGGGCTTTATATTTTTGTAATATCCAATACATATCTTTATATCAAAATTACTTCAAGTAAATTACAAATTCATTAATCTTCAAGTGCCACTCACTGAACAGTATGGTATTTTAAAACAAATATTACATGCGGTGAAAGTCGAAAACTAGCCTCTCCCAATCTCATATAAACACTTGTTACAACTCTAAGACACAACCAACACTAAAAACACTTCATAACAGCATGAACACAATGCATTAAAATGTGTAAAATTTAGTCAAGACTGATAAGAATTCAGGACTAATCTTCAACATGTAGATCATAATTAAAATAACTCACCTCAGTAATCAGTTTTTGCTTGAACCTGCTTTCAGTAATTTTTACTTGATCCTTCGTACTTTGAGGAAGTAAGTCACTGCAAACATGGCACACCTCCTTCCAATAACCCTGCAGTTTTAAAAAATATATTTAGCATGTCTACTTATGCATTTGTATAAAGATCCCAATATACCAAAACACCAGCATTAGACATAATCTCTATAACACCCCTATTGAGTACATCCAACCCTGGTACTTAGTTGACCCTACCACAACAAGACCAGCTAATTGACTGGGGGAGCCACCCCAATGCCACCCATTTACAGGAATTCAAGGCCAAAGTGATATGTTGAAGTGCCACCAGGATCCTCTTCTTCCCTTCACAGGATGCCACGCACAGCAAACACATGGGTGGATGTTCAGATCCTACAGGAGGTAAACTGAAGATACAGAACCATATACAGGAATCCACCTCAAAGGGAGGCAAATAAAAACCGATTGCTTCCACAAAATGCAGAACAGCTATTGTTCTTACATCACAGTTTCAAACTTCTTAACTTTAGGTACCAAACAGGAATATCTGAATGAGAAATCCTCATGAAAAAAATTAACATCAGAGTAAGTTTAACCTGATACACTAATATGAATGTAGTTTTAGAATAATGCAAAACAAACATACCTAGGCTTAGGGTGGGTTCTGAGAAATAAATGGAAGTATATTAAAAGCAGGTAAGGAAATAAGAGAGGCACTTACACATTACAGATGGTAAGTAACCTACAGAATGATGGCTGAATGGAGGAGATATACTGAGGCAGATGAATCTACCAGATGGTAGAAATACTGGGAGACAAAGGTGTTGGGCATAGTCTAAATTTTTGCCTAGAGGACCTCATCCAAAGGTCATCGAAAGTGTGAGGCCAGAGAGTGAGTCAAGTGGCGAATTTGATATAAGATTTGATACATGTTAGTATATCCATCCAGAGTGGAATAAATGATCCAGATGAGTGACACATTTGTCCAGTAAGCATGAAGGACAAAAAATCTCTGGAAGATGAAGGCCAAGAAACACCTCCCTATTCAAACTGGACACAAAAGGCTGTATGATCTCCCTCTCAAGCTGCCTAAATCTTAGAAAGAAGATAGCATTCAGGGAATAAGATCAAAGGAGATCTGTGAAACAAAATACAGAAGGCATCCAAGGTCACCCAATAGCCCGTGATAATAGAAATCAACAATCCTTAAACAACCCAGTAAAGAATGTCAAAAGGAGAGCAACAGTAGGACAGCATGGTGGTATAGAATGGCAAAAAGATCACTGATAAAAAACACACCACTTTCATTGACAGACAGAGAGTATAAGGGTGACACGAGTGGGATAATAGAAGGGCTCACAGTCATAAAAACCTGACTGGAAAGCAAAGGAACAGACAAATTGTATGTGTGAAGAAG